TGGGTTTCCTCAGGAGAGTGGCTGGCGTCTCTCTTAGGGATAGGGTGAGAAGCTCAGCCATTCGTGAGGAGCTCGGAGTAAAGCCGCTGCTCCTTTGCGTCGAAAGGAGCCAGTTGAGGTGGTTCGGGCATCTGGTGAGAATGTCCCCTGGGCGCCTCCCTAGGGAGGTGTTGCAGGCACGGCCAGCTGGGAGAAGGCCCTCGGGGAAAACCGAGGACTAGGTGGAGAGATTAAATCTCTGCACTGGCCTGGGAACGCCTTGGGATCCCCCAGTCAGAGCTGGTAGATGTGGCCCAGGAAAGAGAAGTTTGGGGTCCCCTGCTGGAGCTGTTGCCCCTGTGACCCGATCCCGGATAAGCGTTTGAAAATGGATCGATGGATGGATGTAAATCATTGTGATGTGACATCTTGCAGCAAAGTGCTGTCCCATTCATATTTACACCATTTAAAGCTCTCTTAAAAACACTCAACAACTTACCAGGTGACGTCAGTTAAGTCTTAACTGAGGTCAAGGTTTAGTGGGGAGATTGAAGGTATTAAACCAAATCCCAAACAGAAAATACTGTTTTTGGAGGTAAAAAAGAAAACAGAGGAGGACATGAGAGCACCCCAAGGGGCATATTTAGAGATGGGTGTGCAATAAACATGGATATGACCCTCAATACAACCTGAAAAAAGGATATTACATGTCATTTATCCAAAGCGACTTACAAGAAGTACATTCAACCATACGGATAGCAACTCAAAAGAACAAGAAAGTCCAATTCCATCAAATAAGCCAATTTACAACTTGTTATAGATATGTGCCATTATAGGTATAATTTAAGTTCTATAATTTGTTAGTGTTTTTAATCAAGGTAGAGTTGTGTTGTGTCTTTATTTTGTGGTGGGAGATGTGACGGCTCACACCATTTCGGAGCATGGACAGCGAAGAGTTGTGATCTTGTAGAGTGATTTGCTCTCAGTGAGGGAGGGACGAGCAGTTTTGCAGATGCAGAGCGGGTGTGCGGGTTGGGATATAGGGTTTGACCACGTCCTGGATGTAGACTGGATCCGATCCACTCACAGCATGGTACATGGGTACCAATGTTTTGAACTGGATGCGGGCAGCCACTGGTCGCCACTGAAGAGGGTGGAGGAGTGGAGTAGTGTGCGAGAATTTCGGTAGGATTTGTATCAACGTAACATTTATTTGATCCATTCATGTTGCGATAAACTGCCAAAATCGAGTATCTAGGCATGACCAAGAACACCAAGGCGAAGGCAGTCTTCTGAAGTTTGAAAACACATGGCCAGCGAGTTAGCTAGTTAGCATGTTAGCTTGTTGTGGCTGCTAGTATTGCCACCAAACACGCGACAGACTTAAATTAATAAATAAAATAAATAAATAGTTTTCTGATCTAACGTAACTTACCTTCGGATTTTCCAAAACAACAAACCCTCCAAACAGACACAGCTCCTCTCTTAGGCACAAGTTGTGTTGGTGCATCTCTGGTCTCTCGTTCTTCCTCCTGTATCTGGATCAAAATTCTGCCGCCTGCAGAAAAGAGCAACGTCAGTTGTACTGTTCATACCTGCGTAACACCGGTATGAACAGTATGTGAGAAATTCATACTGTACGGAAATCTTATACCAACCGTAGGCGTATTAAGTTAAAAATTAGAAATACCACTTTATTTTGGAACTGAACACAGGAAAAACACATTACATTTGAAATAGGAAAAATGTTTATGTGGATAACCTGTATGGCTTGATAATATGGGGCGCAGTTTGTAAAATGGCGCACGTTTTGCTACATTTAGCCTTATCATATGAACAAAAAAGCACAACAATACTCATATGTCACAGCAAACATTTAGAGAGAAATTCATGTAAATTTATGCAATAATGTTTGGCAGTATCACAAGTTGTTAAATAATATAAATGTTAAATATAAATGTAAATGTTGAATGTAAAATCTAAATGTTAAATGTAAATCTAAATGTTAAATACAAATGTAATCGTTAAATGTAAATCTAAATGCAAATGTTATATATAAATGTTAAATGTAAATCTAAAGGTTAAATGCACATCTAAATGTTAAATACCAGAGGTAAATCTCAATGTTAATTGTCATAATACATCTGATGATGTGGTGGGAAGGCTTGAAGTAGGAGACCATGTTGTCAATCTTAGTTTTGGGTGTTAGTTTGCAAACATTTACTAAATAGCAAAAAACCCCACAAAAGACAGCTTTGTGCAGATGAGAATTACATTTTGATGGGATTCCATGGTGTGTCAACGTTTGGAGAAATATACATTTTGACCTAATAAAGACCTTTACAGAATCACAGGTTTTGCATTTCCTAAGATGGACATGAATCTGGAATTCCATAGTTGCTGACACATCAGAATCAGCTTTATTAGCCATGTATTTTAACGCATACATGAAATTTTACTCTGGGTCATCCTTTGCTGTCTATACTTTCCATCCAGTTTCTTTTTACAGATGAACACGAATAATTACAAATCTAAATAAATTAAATTACATGTAAATAATTATACAACTATACAATAGAAATACATCTGCCTGTGTTTTCCTGTGTGTGTATGTAATTATATATATATAATATTAGGGCTTTCAAAATGTTTGTGTTAATCTATGCTATTATTGTGGCCAACATGTGTATATATATATATATATATATATATATATATATAGCTGTCATTAGATTAAAAAAAAGTAAAAATCCGTTGTTGCGGATGGGACCTAATGTTTTCTGGTGACTTGGATAAAACCCTGTCACAACAGTGAACTAAATACCTTATATGAGGATATTACCTGTGCTCCTTTTCTTTTAAGTACATAAAGAAACCCCCCCAGGATTAGGAATTGCAATTAAACAATATGTATCCCCGTCGAAAAGTGTTGCTAATTCATCTGAGTGGTGACTGTCTTGAACTGACATTGTCCATGTTTGTTTTATCCATACAGCCAAGCAAACCTTTAAAAAACCAGGAGAGTGAAGTGGCTTAGGACACCATATGTGTGTGTTTAAAGGGCGCTTCATCCAAAGAAAATAGCCATAGACAAGATAGTCTTTTTTTCAGAAATGTTCACTTTGTTACTCACTGTGATCTACAGATATTGTTGTGAAGAATTTTGCTGTGAACCTTAGAGTCTTTGCTACGATATCCACTCCAACAAGTTATAAAAGGAGGTGCTTATGTACATTTCCTCAACGAAGCAAGAAGCTAACAAAGAAAATGAGACACCATAGTGCTAGCCAAGACAACAATGAAGATGCAGATATAAGTATAATTTCTATCAGACAAACCTTGCCAAAACCACTGCAAAAATAACCAGCATTCAGCATATGAATCACAAATGCCCCTCCTTTTTGACGTTTGAAATTATGATGTTAATCAATTTTTTTATGATTAATTAGTGGTTGGATTTTGCTCAGGGACACTTCAACATGGGACATGGAGGAGCCGGTGTTCAAACTGCGAGCCTTGCGGTTCCCGGCACGCCCTCTCTACTCCATGCGCCTCCTTCGGGTCAACAACCTGCCCCTCAGTTTTAGTGGTAATGAGCAGCAGGTAGTTCTCTGATCACCACTGCACAATTGTTGACTTCCTCTCACATAAAATCTCTGTGCTGTTTTTACTCCGGAAGTCGTCAAACTTCACAATGGATTTCTATTTATGTCAGTAGCAGGTAGTGAAAGAGTTGGTGGCTGCCAATGTGGACTGTCCGGGGGGTTCTGAGGAAGTCCAAAAACACAGTTAAAGACTGAAGAACTCAAGCTGCTAAATTTATTTCATGTTTTACATGCATTGAAATAGACAAACAGCATTTTAAGGAATGTGTTTTGTTTTTTTAAGTGAGTAAACGCTATTTGAGTGGTAGCCAGAATCCTCCTCCATGTTCTGGTGATTGTGCTGGAAGATATATCTTATCTCCTTGCAATGGATCGGGTGGATGTGCCATCCTTGAGGAGATGGACAATCCGTGCAACCTCTGACATGTCCAGTATAATACCCTCAATGGACTCTGGTCAAAATATTTGGAAGCTGGGCTTTATGTCATCCTAACCAGATCCAGCATATTGTGTTGGCCCTGGAGTCATACTTATGTTTTCAACTCGTGCTTTGCCTCCTCGGTCCTCGAAGGATGAATATCAAAGCAAGTTGCCACCTTTGGACTGGGATGTCACCTCAGGGTCCTGTTCCTCTTCTAGCACTTTCTCGCTACGTGTTGACTGGTCTGTCTAATAATATTATCTAACGGGATTAATGCTGTCTTTAATTGTGCTTGCGCCGAGACATATTTTTGTCTCTGGTTCCCTCTCCTCTTAACCTGGTTCAAAAGTTCAGTCCACAGCATCTCAGAAAGAAAATTGCCTCATCAGTCGCCTACTCATTGTGTTCATAGAGAGGGAAAGATGTGAAACATTATTTAGTGTAGAAGATGTGGTTCATGTGGGTGGGCACATCAGCAGTGATCCCATGGGAGATGGGATCCCATAACTGTATACATGGGGATGTGAACAGGTGTTCACACAGGTATGTATGGGTGGGTGGGGTTATTGTTGTGGATGTGTGGGTCAACTGGAAGTGTCACGGTGTGGGGTTTTGTCCCGTTTTATTTTGTAGTTTCCTGCCTCTTGTGTCCGTGGTCTAGTTTCACTTCCTGCCTTGTCGTGTCACCCCCTGTGATTGTCTGCCGTGTTCCTGAGTGTTTCCACCTCCTCTACCAATCACCTGCACCCTCCCAGTGTACTTAAGCAAGGTGTGCCTCTTGTCCCTTGCCGCGTCATTGAATGGCTTTCCTGTTTTTTTTCCTTGTTTTTTGAGTTCCTGGTTCCCATCCTGTCTGCGTTTTGCCCTAGGCATTTTGAGTTGGTGTTCTTGTTATAATAAAGTAGGTTTTGTACACTGCACTTCCGCCAACCCATAACGACAGAAAGTCTGAATTTCTAACCTGTTTTTGTATTCTTCGTCTTTCCTCCAACTAGATGCAACGTGGACAGCAAAGTATCGCGAGTGGCGTGGCTGAATCGCTCCACCATCCTCTTCGCAGGGAATGAGAAGTGGTCTCTGGACCCCCGCGTTGTCCTGATGGAAAACACAGCAGTCACAGAGTACAGCATCAAGATCCAAAACGTTGACGTCCACGACGAAGGGCCCTACGCCTGCTCCATCCTCACAAACAAGAAGCCAAAGTCCACAAAAGTGCATCTCATTGTTCAAGGTAAGGGAAAGGTGCCAATCAATATCAGAGATGAAAATGTTTTTTTTTCTTCCTGTGGGTATTCAATTCATAGATGGCTCATTGAAAATGCTCACCGTACAGTGATAAACATATTGCAATATACTAAGTACTGGAATATATTACATTTCTATTGAACTGCAGAATTTAAACAGTTTTTCCAAAAGAATTTATTATGCTACTCTGACATCAGCCATTTCTAATACAGAAAAGTAAACGTACTGACCAACCTACAAAAAGTATCCTGCACCTGACAAACTGAACTGATGGTATAACATTGTACATAATGCAATTTATGTGTTGACTACTGTGCTATTACGGGTGTCTTGAACAATGCAACTTGTACCAAAAGAAAATAGGCATCCGTATCAGAGACTGGGGAATGACAGTGAATTAAATTAAAGTGGCCTAAAATACATTGCAGCATTAATATCAAAAGGCGTGCACAGTGTAGCGTTTTGCTGGTAGCAGATTTAGCAATTAATAATAAATTATTTGATTTTGACTTATAACCTCATACACTAGTACAAAATAATGATGCATTCATTAAACTAACATAATTAAACAGTATTCCATTTGGATGCTACACAATTTCAAAACTAAGATTTGTCAGTGTTGCTATAGAGTCCTTCTCAAGCTGTACAGTGACTTATGATTTCATATACGCACAAATCAAATGATCAATTAACTACATAATTAAACTGCTTAACAGGAAATAAATGAAAGAATGATACAATAAAATAGACCAGGTAGAATCAGTGACCCATGTCATTGATTTCAATCAACTAAAGCTGTCAATCAACATTTAAAGCTAGAATTTCAGTTCAGCATTTTAAGATTTAGGCCGTTAAGCAGTTTGAAAAAATTGTGAGGCACCTTCATATTAGTTTTTTTTTTTAGATCATTAGGCCTAAAGACATGTCTGACATTTTCATTGTTTGAAATGTATGTAAAAAGTTATTTTGCCTGGGAACAAAAAACCTATTTCCATCCAGGACTGAACTGAGAGGTAGTGGCAGCTTTACCTCTTGAAATCTACTTCTGGTTGGATTATTATAGTTTGTTAAATTGCATCCTCAATGTCTCACTTGATTTGCTTTTGTCTGATGTCTTCGGACTGGCCGTCTTCTTCTGCTGGAATCTTTCATCATCTTCATCTCTCTCTGCAGGCTGCTGACTCATCTTATAACCCCCCTTGTAGTGGGTTCATTATGGCACATTTTGCTGGTGACAAAAAGCATCAGTCTTTTCTTTTAAAATGTCTTGCTTTCAATAGTTGCAATTAAACAAGTGTCTGAAATACACACCTTCTTAAGTGATTACTTATTACTTTTAATTGCAGAAGTAAACAAAGTTGACCCTGGAAACTAAACCGCTGCAGTCGGTTAGTCGTGTGTTCTCTCTAGGTATACTGGCTTCCTACCACAGTCCAAAGACGGTGTACCAGCAATTGACTGGCATGCTTCCTAATTCAATTAATTTTATAGCCCAAAATCGCAAATTACAAATTTGCCTCACAGAGTTTTACACTCTGTACATATGCAACGTCCTCTGTCTCGAAACCCTCACATCGGCACAGAAACAACTCAACCCAAAACCCAAAAAATGTAAACCCTTCCAAGAGGAAAAAAGGCAAGAAATCTTAGGGAGAACATCACAGGAGGGATGTCATGTGTACAGATTTTAAAAAGACAAAAGACGTAAAATACATTCAATTCCTATAACAGAAATGATTCAAATAATTGCGAGTAGCAAGCCAGGTGTACAGGCAGGACCAGGCAGGATCAGCGCAGAGTCACCACCATCAGATAGAACCACCATCCACAGAGGACTGTGGAGAGGGAAAGCACAAAGACTTTAGGAAAGGGTAATGTTGGTTTACGATGACAGTAATAGTAAATGTGATTAATATTTATAATAATGATGATGTACGCAACAGCAGGTGTCAGCAGGGTCACGGTAGGAGGCAAAAGCACAAATCCTCCGTGGAAGAAACAAAGTTAGTGATGCGCATTAATGTATACAGTAATGGCGATGGAAATATTAATGGTATTGGAGGAGGTAGGTGTCTACGTGCCAGTCAGGACCAGGGTCCAGACGGAACTAGGATCTATGGAGATATGCGAGGCGAGAAAGCACAAAAAACTGTGGGGAAGAAGCTAAATTAGTGATGTGGATTAAAATCCGTGGATTATTGTAGAAGGAGAGAGTGAGAGAGGAGCTTGATGTGTCCTAAAAAGTCCCCCGGCAGTCAAGGCCTATAGCAGCTTAACTAAGGGCTTGTCCGTGCTAACCTGAGCCAGCCCTACTATAAGCGATATCAAAGAGGAACGTTTTGTGCCTCATCATCAAGTGCCTTGTAGATGAGAAGTACCCTCCAATATAATATAATATAAAAAACTATTTAAATATATACAGTACCATAAAAAAGCATTTTCCCCCTTCCTGGTTTCGGAAAGAGAACAAAAAAACATAACTAGATTTAGCCACATTGTCCTGGCTTTGGTTCATTGTACATCCACTGTCGGCATTGAACCTTTTGTTTTCTTGATTAAATTAATTTCCTTCATTGAGAGTTTCCACAAGCAATATGAGGCTGTGTTAGAGTTGCATGTAGGAAGGAATTTGGAGAAGTAGCTGTGTGGGTTACCTAATGTAGAAAGAACATACTCCAAGGAAAGACTTTGAGGAAATTCAGATTTTCCTTTGACGTTGAACTTGCACATTTTATAAAAAAATAATTGACATGATCTTTACAAAAACAAAAAGGAAAGTTCAAATTTGATATTCTCTTTCATGCAGTCATAATTAACATTGAGTATTTCACTCTATAATTCATGATATCTCATTAACTCTTAATTGATACTGAGAAGCATCAGACCATAGTTTTAATCAAATAATAGATCGCACAGACACGTCTCCTTATGTACTTTCCCATGGATTTCTATCCGTCCCTTTTTACTGACCTTGAATAAAACTCAAGAGCAGCCGCACAATCCACAGAGGGGGCACTGATACGCCAACACAACTGTGGTGATGGTGCACATTGTTGTTAAAGCACAGGAGAGATGCACCCAATAGTATTGGTCAGTGGTACAGACTACAAAACAACTCCTTTTTACAGCTCTCCATGTCAAGCACATTTAAAAAAAAGGGCTGTATTTAATCAATTATTGACTGTTAAAAATCAATTGTAGCCTACTAACTGTGCGGCGCACCTCACTCTAACCCAGTGGTTCCGAACTTTATCACCAGCAAACACTAACACACACGGTAGAACAATATAAATTACAATTTTAAACAAATACAATTGTATTTGTATTTATTGAGATACCAGAAAAGAAATATAAAGATATTAAGTGAAATTTTAAAGTTAATTTTACTTACAAATGAATATTTCAAAAAGTAATTATTTACATGCAGGAATAGGAATAAGTGATTTTATGACGCAAAATGACTGAGTAACTTCCTATCTTCGATCAATGTTTTTTTTTTTTCTTGAACACAAATTAAGATATTTACTGCACCACGTTGTTTGTGTTTCAGTCTTCAATATCTCAAGTTTAATTGTACTTAAATACATAAAATGTAATGTTTGAATGTACTAAGTTTAGCATCGAAAATATTATTGATAAAGTTTGGAAAGCAGTGCTTTAATCCAACACATACTTCTATATATCAATATCGACAGAAGAACTCTTCGTCTCATGCACTAAGGTTTATCACGGTCAATGTACAGCAAACATACACTACATATTTTATCTACCTTTAGGGGGAATTGAATGCTGCGGCGGTGAGTTAGTGTGTACTTGTAATTAAGTTATTATTATTTTTCAGGGAAATATGAGGTAACATTGGGTTTTTCAAGGATTAGATGACTTGTCTCAACAGGATTTGGAAAAACATGTCCCTGCATTCATCCTGAGTAGACTGGACTATTGAAACGGTGTATTCTCAGGTCTCTGTAAAAAGTCTGTCAGTCAAAACGCTGCAGCTCTAAGTCCTTACTAAGAGCTATAGAGTGGATCACATCACTCCAGTTCTGAGGTCTTTACTCTGGCTTCCTGTCCAACAAAGACTTGACTTTAAAAGCTTACTGTTGCACTGAATGGTTTAGAGTCAAAATACATGACTGACCTGCTGCTACCTCACAAACCATCCCGACCACTCAGGTCGTCTGAGACGGGTCTTCTTTTTGTACCCAGTCAGAATCACACATGGAGAAGCAGCTTTGCTTCTTCTGCTGCACATATCTGGAACAAGCTCGCAGAAAGCTGCAGGCACTACAACGTCAATATCTGTTTTTAATTATTCAGTCAATGATCGTAATTATTTCATTATTTATTATTTTTATTTTTCCTTATGTTTGGACATGGAATGAGGGATCTCTTAGGTTCATGGTACAGTCCTTGAGTATAACTCTTTTGGTCACTATATTTAATAGAAAACAACATTTCAAACCAGAAGCGCAAACCAGTTATGTTGGCCATGTTGTTATGCTTGGTTGACGCGGAAAACATCATGTCGAGGTGCTCACCCTACATCAATATTATTATACCTATAGGTGTTGCTTTTACAAATGGAAATCCAGCGTTAAAATCTGGACCTCCACTTTCTCATGATTAGTATATTGTTTGGGTGGGATTTGGGATAGTTTTCTTGTACAGAAAAAAGATAATACTCTCATTGAAATCTATATTATTCTTGGAAATCTTGTTAATCTTGTTTTTCTGACATTTTGTGTTGGAGGATGAAGTTGTGTAATCTCTTTCATGCTGTATTTCTGTAAGGCCTCTGTAGGCAAATATGAATTACGTAATAGGGACAGGGTGATGGCTGATTCATCGCAAATTCTGGAGTAGCACATGAATAGAGTACCTACTTTAAAACAAAGACCGATTAGGAAGAGCCTCGGGGTTGTTGGTTGTGCCTGAGGCCTCTCTAATACCTCAGAAATGGAGATGGTGTTGAACCTACACACT